GCCCGCGGGGGGGGGGGGGGGGGGGGAGGGGCCCGCCGTTTCCGTAGGGTGGGGGGGCAATAGACGGGCGCAGGAGGGGGACGCGTGGAGCCGCTGTAGAGTGGGATGTTGGTGACTGGTCCCCAGTCCAGGCAGCGCACCAGACTGGGGTGCAGGAACCCTGGGCTGTGGGCTGGGCTCTGCCTTTCCCGTGCCTCGGTTTCCCTATCCCTCAAGGGGGCGGGTAATGCTGACTCGCTTTGAGAAGCCATTCATTAATTCATGTACTGAAGTCATTGAACCTGGGCTCACCCCATGAAATGAACAGCAGGTTTAAAACAAGCCAAGGGAAGTTTTTCTTCACACAGCACACCGCCAATCTGTGGAACTCCTCGCCAGAGGATGCCGTGAAGAGCAAGACTTTAAGAGGGTTCAAAAAAGAGCTAGATAAATCCATGGAGGTTGTGTCCATCGCTGGCTCTTACCCAGGCGGGGCGAGGGTCCCTCACCTCTGTGCAGCTGGGAATGGGTGACAGGGAGGGATCACGTGATGAGTCCCTGTTGTGTTCCTGTCGGCAGCCAGGACGCTGGGCTAGATGGGCCTCTGGCCGCTCCCACGTTCTTGTGTGATGAGCCTCCAAGAAACAAGTGGCCAGATGCTCTGGTGATGGGCTCACAGACTCCGAGGCTGTGCAGGGGCCTCCCCCTGGTGAAGTGTTGCTGCTCTGGGCCCCTGGCTGGCCTGTCCCATCCCTCCGGGCCAGGCCTCACTCTGCGTGGGCCCTGGGGTGGGGACTTGCTCTGGGACCCTCTGCGCCGAGTGTCGGCTGTCGAACCAGGCTCCTTGGCCCCTCTCCTGGGGTCAGGGCTCTGAGCGGGCTGAGCGTCCTTCCCTCCCCGGCGGAGCCAGGCAGCATTCCCCAGCACTGGGGGGCGCTGCGCCAGGGCCGCCTCTTGCCTGAAGAGCTCTATCGTCGAGTGACCCTTCAGGACCCTGGCGCAGGCCATGCGAGCTGGGGCGTTAGCTCAGCCTGCTGCCCCCGGGCGCTAGTGCCGCCTCTGCATCCCCGCTGCCCTGAGATTGGCTGCCTTCTCCCCAGAGGTGGCCGCATTTCACAGCGCGGTTCTGCGCTTCCCGGCGTTCTCCCCAAGCGTGATGCTGGCAGGGTCTGCGCCTGGCTCCCCGCGCCGGCCTTCCTCCGTGGCTCCTGACTCAGTTTCCTTCCCAGCAAACCTCGTGGGCGTTGTGCCAGGCGGCGCGCTGCGGCCCCCGGGCCGGGACGCTGACCAGTCTGCCTCTCTCCTAGGACACCTTTGATATCAGGATTTTAATGGCTAAATCCGTGAAGTACACGGTCAACTTCTTAGAAGCCAAAGAAGGCGATTTGCACAGGTAGCGGTTTGCTCTCTCCGGCTGGGGGGGTACTGACGTCTGCTCGCTGGCTGGAGCCCAGCCCCATGCGCGGGCGGCTGAGCACGACCCTGGGCCCGTGGGGTTTGCCATCAGTGAGGGGCGGCAGAGCACTGGGGCTGGCGCGCTCAGCAGCCCCCACGCATCCCTCGTGCTGCTGGAGGGTTGTGTGAGTAGCCCGGGTTCCTGCCGCACGGGGCTGTCCTGATGCATCCGCAGACTGTGCAGCTGTGTGGGGCACCCCTGGGTCTTAGTGTCCCCCCGGCTCGCCTTAGCCCCGCTCCATGGCTCCGCGTCCTTCGGGGAGGATCTAGCTGACTTCAGAGAGGCACGGCCTGCCCGAGACACAGCAGCACCTGACCCTGGGACGGAGCCATGGAACAGGCACGGGCCAGCCCCAGCTCTCTCCGGCCTGGTTCCGAATTCACCGTGGTACTCGGCAGGCCCCGAGTTTGCAGTGGGCTGTAAAAAAGCGAGTCGGGCGTCGCTGGAGACGATATCCAATCACAGCTCTGAGCCCCGCCGGTATCTGGGCGCCAGCTGGGCCGTGCTGTGTAGGGCCCGTAAACCGAGGGGGCCCCCAAAGGCTGCTGGGTTCAGAGCTGCAGCCTCCAGCCCCCTGCCATGCTCGGGATCTGCCCGTGGGCCCTCCCCTTCACCCGCCCTGTGGGGCTGGGGTGGCAGCTAGAGGGGAGATGGCGTTTGGAGGGGCCTGTCAGCCACGGCAGCACTGACCCTCCTAGAGCGCAGCCCCACTTCCCCCTCCCCTGGCCAGGCCTCTTCTCTGCCTGGTCTGGAAACGTTTCCTGCGGGGGAGCCCCTTGAAGGGAAACCCACCAACCAGCGAGAGTCGAACTCAGTGCTGGGCCCTGTACGGCATTGAGCAGGGGAATTATGGTAGCACCTAGGCACACCAGTAATCCCCTCTCCCCCCTTGTGCTGTGCGCTGTTTGGTATTCAGGGAATTACGGTAGCACCTAGGCGTGCCGGCTCACCCTGGGCCCCGTTGTGCAGGACACGGTACAGTATTGTAGAAATTACGGTAGCAGACGGCACACTAATCGCCCTCCAAGAGCCTGTTGTCTTGGGTGCTGTACAGGATCGATATGGGGAATTACGGTAATGCCGGGGTGCTCTACAGTATTAGGGGAATTACGGTAGTCCTGGGGCGCACCAGTCCCTGCCTGGACACGGGTACAAACACAGACCCCCGGCTGGGCCCGTCCCCACTGCCCCAGTGTGGCTGGGCCATGGGGCTCTGCAGCTGGGCCCCCAGCTGAG